CTGATACACAAAGGCTGAGAGCATTGTTAATATTTACACAATGATCAATCAGGAACACTGCAACTAAGGACAGTGAACCAGGAATTAAAGTTTATTTATTTCCTGACCATCAGACGAACAAGCTCTGCAGCAGTTCGAGACAACAGTACTTGATTGTGGGGATTCATCATCATCTGACAGCATCTGCACACAATCATTCACCATGGAGAAGGTACACATGCCAATACTTCTCACCCACTTTTTGGTTTTGTATATTGCTGAATTAGGGTTTTACAGTCAAACTTAGCATGACTTCAGTAAAATAAAATAGAAACATAAAAGACAGAATATAATATGAACTATTTTAATGGGGTCATTTTGGTGAACACAAATATTATTATAAGCTTAAGTTCACCTTACATTTACTTCAGTAATTCATTTTACATTCAAATTTCTTTTTTACTTATCATTGATTACATAGGGCTAGTCACTCTGAAAATCCCGCCTACCTCAGCTCAACCTTGCCTAGGTCCAGGCATGAGACACATATTCACTTTAGTTAGATAAGTGACATGTTTTTAACATATGCAAGAGCAAAGTTGGACCTTGAAGCTAACAGAAACCTAGAAAGAAAATAATAAAGTTTTTATTAGACAAAGGGCTGATGGAATGAAGTATTCACACAAACAATAAAGGGGAGAGAAAGAGGAGAATCCTGCAGAGAACCACAACCAAGATAACTTGAATACTGCTGCGGATGTAATAATTAGATGATGGCAAAAGGCAAGTAAGGAGACTAAGGAGGGGTGGCTAATTAGTACAGTAGAAAATAAACAAAATAAAGAAATAAATCCAGGGGAACAAGAAAATACTAACTTAAGTAAAAGAATATGAAGGGAGTTAAATGCAGGAGTCAGCAAAGAAACAAGGATAATAGAAACTAAAAAGGCAAAAAATATAACAAACAACAGGAAAGAGATGCAAAGAAATCTAAACCAGACATCTGATGATTATAATTCATATCTGGCTAAAGATAAACCTGAAATATGAAAACTAGATTCCAAAACCCTTTATGTTGGTGTACAGGTTTTACTGTTGAGTTTTCTAAAGTTTATGATTGTGAGAATAAAAACTTAATGTGTTTTTTCTGTTAGTCATCAGACTTTAACTGAGACTTACTGCATTTTCTTATATGATTCATTCCTCCTTGCTCAGTCTGTCTTAATGTCTGAATCTGTAGCAGATAATAAGCTTCTCTCTATTTCAGACTGACTCTGGTGGTCCGCTCATGTGTAAGCAGGATGGCTCTTGGTTCCAGGTAGTTGTGCTATCATCTCCAAGCACCTCCAACAGAAGTAAACGAGCCGAGCCTATGATGGTCTTTGAAAAACTGGACCGCTTTGAGTCCTTCCTGACTCGTACACTGGGACAATTCTTGTCTCCTGCTGTGACTGCCAATGACAGCAGCACCAATAACACAAATACCACAATCTCCACCACAACCCCCTCCAGCATAACGACAACCAGTGGGGTTTCAGTTTCCTACTCTCCATTTTCCCTTTTAGGCCATCTTCTTCTCTTCGCTTTATGCCTCCAAACCTTCAAATAGACTGATTGTCAAGATATCAAACACACATAAAAATAATGTGACGGTGTTTTTATTTATTCAATAATACTCTGATATGATTTAAAGGTTGTTTCTGCCTTTGGTTGATCAAAAGGGTCATAGTTAACACCATGTTACCATTTACCTGAAAACAAGACAAATTATTAACATGGTATCAACTTTATAGCCAAGAGACTTGTCAGATCTGCAAGGGTTAATTAACAGGTAACAGATAATAAAGAAAATAGGGCTAATATATAAATTGTAATTATATCTATAATAAGTATCAAAGTTAGATTTTTCTCTTTCTGATTATTGTTACTGATTAGAGACATTGTTCAATTTTTTATCTTTTTAACAAATGATTCATTGATTTACATCAGAATATTAAGCAAAAAAAGCAA